AATGCAAATAATACGATACAATAGAAGACAAAACAATACAATACAATAGAAAACAATACAATACAAAACAATGCATTACAATACAATACAATACAATACAAAAAAATAGAATACAATACAATACAATTTAATACAAAACAATACAATACAGTACAATACAATAAAATACAAAACAATACAATACAATAAAATACAAAACAATACAATACAACACAAAACAATACAATACAATACATTACAATACAATACAATACAATACAATACAATATAATACAATACAATGCAATACATTACAATACAATACAATACAATACAATACAATACAATACAATACAATACAATACAATACAATACAATACAATACAATACAATACAATACAATACAATACAATACAATACAATACAATACAATAAATACAATCCATCACAATACAATACAATACAATACAATACAATACAAAACAATACAATACAATACAATACAATACAATACAAAACAATACAATACAATAGAAAACAATACAATACAAAACAATGCATTACAATACAATACAATACAATACAAAAAAATAGAATACAATACAATACAATTTAATACAAAACAATACAATACAATACAATACAATAAAATACAAAACAATACAATACAATAAAATACAAAACAATACAATACAACACAAAACAATACAATACAATACAATACAATACAATACAATACAATACAATACAATATAATACAATACAATGCAATACATTACAATACAATACAATACAATACAATACAATACAATACAATACAATACAATACAATACAATACAATACAATACAATACAATACAATACAATACAATACAATACAATACAATACAATACAATACAATACAATACAATACAATACAATACAATACAATACAGTACAATTTAATACAATACAATACAATACAATACAATACAATACAATACAAAACAATACAATACAAAACAATACAATACAATACAATACAATACAATACAATACAATACAATACAATACAATACAATACAATACAATACAATACAATACAATACAATACAATACAATACAATACAATACAATACAATACAATACAATACAATACAATACAATACAATACAATACAATACAATACAATACAATACAATACAATACAATACAATACAATAAATACAATCCATCACAATACAATACAATACAATACAATACAATACAAAACAATACAATACAATACAATACAATACAATGCAAATAATACGATACAATAGAAGACAAAACAATACAATACAATAGAAAACAATACAATACAAAACAATGCATTACAATACAATACAATACAAAACAAAAAAATAGAATACAATACAATACAATTTAATACAAAACAATACAATACAATACAATACAATAAAATACAAAACAATACAATACAATAAAATACAAAACAATACAATACAACACAAAACAATACAATACAATACAATACAATACAATACAATACAATACAATACAATATAATACAATACAATGCAATACATTACAATACAATACAATACAATACAATACAATACAATACAATACAATACAATACAATACAATACAATACAATACAATACAATACAATACAATACAATACAATACAATACAATACAATACAATAAATACAATCCATCACAATACAATACAATACAATACAATACAATACAAAACAATACAATACAATACAATACAATGCAAATAATACGATA